CAACCCTCGGCGCTGCCCCCGCGCCTCGCTCAGCCAGTGAGCAGGAACCGGTCTGTATGTGGGATCCGAACCCCCGGGCGGGAGCGCCGCCGCACTTCCCAAGCGGTGCACTTATCCAGTGCGCCACCGGGCTGGCCCCTCTTCCACACATTTGAAAACTTAGATAAAATGGATCAAGTCCTCCCAAGAAACAATGACCAAAATTTATGCAATAAGAAATACACAATATGAATAAGCATATATCTGTGATAGAAAATGAATAAAGCGTTAATAATCTTCAAAACAGAAAACATCCACCCCAGATGTGTTCAATGGTAAACTCAACCAAACATTTAAGGAAGAAATTACAGCAATTCCCTACCATCTATTGTTACTTCCCAACTCATTCTATAAGGACAGCATTACCTCAATACCAAAACCAGGAAAAGACATTACAAGAAGAGAAAAGTACAAATCATTACCACTCATGAATACACATGCAAAAGTCCTCAACAAAATATTAGTAAACCAAATCCAAAAATGTATAAAAAGAGCTGTGCATTATGATCAAATAAGATTTATTCCAGGCATGCAAAGCTGGTACACATTTGATAATCCATCATATCAGCAGACTTAAATAGAAAAACCTTATGATCATAGCAATAAAACCAGAAAAAGCATGAGACAAAATACAGCATCATTCATGATAAATACTCTCAGTAAACCAGAAATAGAGGGGAACTTCGTCAACTTGATAAAGACTATCCACAGAAACTAAAGCTAATATGATAATGGTGAGAAATTCTAAGCTTTCCAACAAAATCAGAAACAAAGCAAGAATGCACCATCTCACCATTCTTTTCAACATCGTACTTAAGTACTAGCTCATGCAATAAAATAACAACTTAAAATAAAAGGCATAAATAATGGAAAATAAAATAAAATTGTCTTTGTTTACAGATCATATGATAGTGTGTAAAAAATCCAAAACAGACAAAAAAACTTCTGGAACTAATAAGTGATTATAAAAAGATTGCAGGATCCAAAGTTAATATGCAAATTTGATCACTTTCCAATGTACTAGCAACAAATAAGTGGAATTTGAAGTAAAAAAAAAAAACCAAAACAAACAAAAAACCAAAAAACACTATTTACAGTAGCATCCAAAAAAATGAAATACTTGTAAGTCATATATCATAGACTTCAACTCAACAATCAACAAACAATTAACCTGACTGAAAATGGGCAAAGGACTTGAAGAGACATTGCTCCAAAGATGATATACAAATGGTTAACAAGCATATGAAAACCTGCTTGACATCACTAGCCATTAAAGAAATGCAAACTAAAACCACAATGAGATATTACTTCACACCCAATAGAAAATAACAAGCACAGGCAAAACTGGAACCCTTGTAAACTGTTTTGTTGGTGGGAATGTAAAATGGTGCAGCCACTATCAAAATAGTACGGTAGCTTTTTAAAAAATTAAAATTGTAATTACCACATGACCCAACAATCCAATTTTGTGTATAAATCTAAAATAATTAATAATACTACTGCAAAATATTTGCACAACTGTGTTTATGGTAACATTATTCACTTAGGAGTTGGAAGCACTCCAAATGTCAACAGACAAATGTGAATACATAAAAAAAGTTTATGTACACAAAGGAATATTAGCCAGCCTTAAAAACAAAGAGAATCCTCACAGTCCTATGCTATAACATGGAACTTTGAGGACATTATGCAAAGGAAAATAAGCCACTCACAAAATGACAGATATTGTATGGCTCCACTGATGTAAGTCAAATTTTTAGAAACACAAAGTAGAATGGTGGTTGTCAAGGTCTGGGAGGAGAGGGAAATTGAGAGCTGTCACTTAATGAGTACAGACTTGCAGTTTTCCAAGATAGAAAGTTCTGGATATCTGCCACACAACAGTGTGAATATACCTAACACCACTTAAAGGTTAAGAAATGGTTAAATTTATATATGTTTTTTAACCAAAATTAAAAATAGATTATTTCAAAAATAATTTTAAAAGGCCAATAGTTGATCATGCTGAAAAATAAATGAATAAATAAATAAAAATAAATTGAGTAGCCAAAAACAATTTAGGAAAGCAAAAACAGAGGACAAAATGGCAATTGAGACAGAGAAAATGGGAAGCAAAATGGCAGACCTAAATCTAACCTTATTAATAATTAGTTTCAATTGAACTGAACTAAATATTCTACTTTATGCAGACACTGTCAGGCTCGATAGGAAGGTATGACTCAACTATGTGCTATTCACAGAGACATGATTTAAACACAAAGACACAAACAGAATAAAATTTTAAAAAATGGAAAAAGATGTACTACACTGATGGTAAGTATAAAAAGCCTAAGTGGAGATATTAATACTAGCAAAAAGAAACTTCAAGACAAAATATATCAACAGGGAAAAAAAGAGAGCCCTTTCATAATAACAAAAGGATTATACGTGAGGAAGATGTAACAATTATAACTACGTCTGTGCCTAAACACAGAGCCGCAAAGTACAGTCACGTGGCGCTTAAAGACTGGGTAAGTTCTGAAAAATGTGTCATTAGGCAACTTTGTCATTGCATGAACATCGTAGAGTGCACTTACAGAACCTACATGGTACAGCCTACTACACACCTGGACTATATAGTGTAGATTACTGCACAGATATAAACGGGGTCTGTTGACTAAAATGTTATGTGGCACACAAGTGTACCTGAAAAAAAAAAACTGAGCCAAAGTGAGAAATTGACAAATACACATTCATAGTTGGAGAATTCTTTTCTCTCAGTAACTAATGAAATAACCAGATAAAAATGTCAGGAAGAATACAAATATAATTGACAAAATTTTAACTATATTTATATTATGGATATGTATATTTGATCTCTGTCTTTGCCTCCTGGCATACAACTCCTAAAAGCCTTAGACTCTCCAAAGTGATGAGTGTCATTTTGCCTGCTAATGAGTTGGCTGGTGCCTGGCTGCACCTGGGTAAATTCAGGATGGGAGCTGATTGTCAGAGGAGCCAACTTTGTAATTAGAGGGTTGGGACTTGCAGCCCACATCCCCAAATTCCAGGGAGGGGAGAGGTACTGAAGGTTAAGTTGATCAAAAGTGGCCTATGCTGCAATCAATTGTGCCTAATGAGACCTCCATAAAAACCCAAGAACACAGGGCTGAGGGAGCTTCAGGACAATTGAACTCATCCGTGTGCCAGGAGGGTGGTGTACCTCATATCCAAGGGAAGGGAACCTCCTGTGCCAGGACCCTTCCAGACCTCATCCTTTGTATCTCTTCACCTATTTGTATTTTTCAAAATGTCCTTTGGAATGAATGAGCAAATGTAAGTAAATATTTCACTGAGTTCTCGGGGCCCGTTTAGTAAATTAATCTAGCCTACAGAGAAAGAAAGGCATTGTGGGAGCCAGTCAGAAGATCCAGGAACCTGAACTTGCAACTGGCATCTGAAGTGGGGACAGTCTTGGGGACGGAGCTGTTAACTTATGAGATATGATGCTACCTCCAGGTAGATAATGCCAAAATAAATTTGAGTTAGAGATGCACCAAGCTGATGTCTGCTGCAAAACTGCTTCTAGGCTTAGTGTGTGGAGAGAAATCCTCATGTATCTGGTGTCGGCCAAAAGCAGTATGTTGTGAGTATAGGAGAGGAAACTGAGTACGTTTTTCCCATCCAACCTAATTGATATTTGTAGAGTACAATCTGGAGCTGCTATGGTTAAATGTGTCCACCAATGTTAGTTAATGTGTTGGAAACTTGATCCCTATTGTAACAGTATTAAGAGGGCAAGAAATCCAATTATAATATTTGAAAGGTGGGACCTTTAAGAGGTGACTGGATTGTGATAATGCCCTGGTGAATAGATTAATCCATTCACGAAGTAATGGATTAATGTGTTAATGGGGTATTGTGGGCATAGACTGGTGGCTTTGTACACTGGGCACATGAAAGTGCTCTTGCCATTCTCACCATGTGTTAATCTGCATTGCCACAGGACTCCCTACAGAGTCCCCATCATGAAGAAGATCCTGGACTGGATCTTAGCCTCCAAAATTGTAAAAAATAACCTCTTCTCTTAATGCATTACCCAGTTTCACATTTTCTCTTGTAAGTAACAAACAAACAAAAACAGACTAATACAGGAACACTCATCAAGACAGAGTACACATTGACCTATAAAACAAGTCTCAAGACTGAAATATTATAAAATATGTTTTCTAACCACAATTAAATTAAATTAGAAACCAACAACAAAAGTATATTCACAGAGTCTCAAATATTTGAAAATTACAGGACACACTTTGAATGGAGGCTAGAAAACAAAGAGCCTGTCTCGGCTCTGTGGGGGTAGCTTTGGTCTCATAGATTTTAGTACACAGAAGCCCACGCTTTCTAAAGTAGTGATTACACTGAATCATTTCTTGTATCAAAAGGCCAGAGTTAGATAAAAGATGAAAAGGAGGCCATTAGATCTCCAAATTACTATAAGCAAGAAACAGAAAAAAAAAAATTGGTCAAGTACAAACCCAAGCATGTGAGGAAAAAGGTTATTGACAGAAAATGGTGAGAGTGGGGCCGGCCCGGTGGCGCACTGGATAGTGCGCCGCTTGGGAAGCGTGGCGGCGCTCCCGCCCGAGGGCTTG